TCCATCCATCTAAACTTTCGCATTTATTATATTATATAGTATAGTATGAAGAATGATTAGTATGATAGTATGATTATATATTATTATAGTAACTATAGATAAAAGTTTGCCAGTAGAAACCTAGAGTTAAATTCATTACTTACCAAAAATAATTACAAATGTATAGACAGTTAGTGTGTGTCTTGAAACTGTCATAGTTAAGTACGGCATCGACAAATTACTTCATAATACATCTGTAAATAAAAAAATACAACTATTCAGTATATAACTAAAGCTTTTTTATATTATATACTACGTCACAGCCTTAATGGTTTTGATCAGCCGTGTAAAGAAGTCTAAAGGCCTGTCCCACCAAATTGTAAATTATCCGATAACTATCCAACGTGTAAAACATATGATAGAAATATCGGATTTTGTTCCCTTATCTAACAGTGACAATTTTAAGTTATCTGAGCCTTTTTCAGCCAGTGGTGGGCAAGACCCTAACTATAGTAGTGTTAAAATTCTCCTTTTTTAAAGTCAGTTAAAGGGACAGTAAAAAGGCAACCCAACTGAACTAAACTGAAAATCTACGTAAAGTTTACGAAATTGTGACGCAATGAAAAGTATTCTCGGATTATTCTATCAACGGTCTACAAATTAAGATCGTCCCATTTTCGATCATGAAAGCGAACGATGATAAATGCTTCATTAAATTACTTTACGATACGAAATATGGTACATCTTGTCCTAAAAGGTTTTTTAAGTGCCTTATAGTACAATGGATATAATTAATTCCATGATTGTAAAAGATTAGGGCTAGAATCAGATTTTTAAATGAACTAATCTAGATGAACTGGGATTTAAGTCCAATGTATAAATCTGTCTAGACTGATGATGGGCATCGCCACCCGATGACCTAGACAAGATGGGGGGGGGGGTTTGCAATTGCAGCTATTATAATATTAAGGTAATAGTCCTGCGATGCCCATGAGACTGTCGCCTGAATGGTTGCAATGTTCAAACAAATTTTTGATTAGTTACTTATGTTAAATATTCAATACGTCCTGAATTAATTAACATTAAAGGGCGTGACCTATGCTGAATAGTGGCTCATTGCAAAATGTCGACTGCAAGACAAAGTTCTTAATGACATTTTATAACACACAAGAATAGAGCGTTTGACATTTAATATCCGCTTAGAAAACATAATACGTTATGGAGTTGCGATACATTAACATGTACTTAAATAAGTTATGTTGTAGGATTATTAGGATTTTGATAATTAACATAGAATAGACAGAAATGAGAAGGTTACCTGATACCAACTTAGTATAACAGTAGTAGTACTGTGGACAGTAAAGGGAAAGGAAAAGCCAGTGACACTTAGCAAGTCTAATAGCCGAATAATGAAAGTAATTTAAAAGCTTCACTTAATAAGCGCTGAATACAATCTGACAGAGGTCAAAATATAATTAACCGACATTATTTATATTTCGACCTTTTTTTATTCAAACTGCGCAAATTCCCCTACTTTAAAAAGACAAGTTATTCGTAACTTAAATATCATTTACTTGATGCTAAAGGATGCAGAAACACATAAGATTTATGTACCAGAAAACATAGTAATAAAAATATATAAACAACATATTTACCTCCCTTTATTTTCTTTTTAAATTATCTCACAAAATAGACCACAATTAAAATTGTACATTCATGTTATTAAAATCTTTAAATAATTTAAACACAACAATACTAAAGATTTCCCGCGGTAACTAATGTCAAGATATAAAGCTCGGTAGCGTGCGTGTTGCTTTTACAAGCAACGCTTTTCAAATAACGTCCCAGTTTGCCGTTCGTCTTTGAGGATATCTGAAAGCTGAAAATCTATCGATGTTTCTATCACTACAAAAAGTAGTTAGAAGGAATTTAACAAATGAAAAACCTTAGTCAACTAAATCTACTATGGAATGTGGTATAAGTAAGGAATTTAAAAATAAACAAATATATTTTCAAAATCACGGACATATTATACGTCTCAAATCGTATTTTAGTTTTACTTATAACTGACAGGCGCTCAAATAGCTTTCTCGATAAGATATCAACAGAAAATATTTTTCTAATGTAACATTACTTATGTTTATGTTTTAGTTACTTTGCAGAACAATAGACATTACTGATCCTGGCCTACATATTAAAAATAGGATACCATTTTGTTAAAACTATAAATACAAACTAGCTAAAAAGTTTCTACTTAGGTAGCGAAAATGTATTGCCGCACTGTGCTAGCGTTAGTGCAACTATCATAGGTAATTCATTTAGAGGTAAATAGATTACTTATCTTGACGAACTTGTAGATTATAGCGCAAAGCAATAAAACCGTACAGCGGTCCATTGTCCGGCTAAACACGGCGCGGGCTCGGCATACTTACGTCACGGACTTATCACCCGTTCCCATAAATGTATTCACACTGCAAATTGATCTGGACACAATGCACGAGAGCCCAGATGCTGATATGATCACCATGATAATAGGGTTTCGTGGATAATCCTAACATAGCTGTAGAGTTAATGGTGTAAGCTACTTAATAGTGTTAGAATGTTTTCGATGTTTTTGAATGTTTGTTTAGGTGAAGTTTTGGAAAGCAGTGTTTCAAAAATTTATTAACTAACTAGTTACTTTGTTGCAACAATAATCGACTTATGAAATATCTAAGTAACATATGATAAAACCTCAAAATGTATGTCAGTATAGATATTAAAATACAAAATTGGACAAACGCATTTTTACTGGACACATTGTAGGTAACCTAGTTGCCTGTTTTAGATGAACTTTTAGGCCCAGCACAAGATATTGTTAAGTTTATGGATTCAACGTCGTAATGTACTTAAATTAGATGATTATAACTGAACAATAATTATATATGTCACTAGCTGTTGCTCGCGATTTCGCTGGCGTGAAATAAAAAAAAAATAGAAAAAATATAGACTATGTTACTGAGTGATAACATAGCTTTTTAATGGTGCAAGAATTTATGAAATCAGAAGAGTAGTTTTTTAGTTATTCCTATACATAGCTACAAAAATACAAATCTTCCCTCTTTGTAATAATAGTATAGATATAGAAGAATGTAATGAAATTGTTGGAATATTTTTTTTTACAATAGCTAAGTAATCTAGAGCGGAACAAGCGAGACCTGTATGAATATGAATGTTGTTAGAAACAAGGTACCTCCTTTCGAAACCTTTGCTTGTTCTATAAGTTTGAGTGCATTTAAATATATCTTTTTCAAGGCGCAAAAACTTTTATAAGTTATATCCACACTTTGAATTAAATTCCATTATAATTTATGGCGCATATTATTTGCATTTGCATTTGTTTATTTGCTATAAAATCAGCATCAGTTGTTCCGGCTAAGGTCCGCGTGCGGTTAACAAATATGGCTGATTACAATCTCTTTAAAATTGTAGCAAAAGACGAATGGCCACCCGCCACCGAGCTGTTTGCCATACGAGGTAGCCTTTGTGACTCACAGTAAATGCACACTTCGCTGGATTTAACTTTTCAATTTAACTTTTTCGAATAGTAGACACTAATTTGCGAATCCCTATTAATATAACATTTATTAACATAAGTAAGATATAGCTACAAAAATGTCAAAAAATAAAAGAAACCTTTTACTCTAATTCCATTAAAACAAAATGTTACTTTTTTTTTAACATATAAAGTAATGTGGCTATTCTAAACTACTTAAAATTTAGACACATGTTAACCGACTAAATATTTGCTAAATATAAAATATACTATTTTTAATATTTAAAAATATAAAATGTAACATGATCTTGAAAACATAAATCCCCGAATACTTTAGCACGTTATTTATTATGCGATAAGGTGATAAGAATAAGACAGACTGTACAATTAGTTTAAATTTAGATATATCTGTGCAATAAAACATGCACTCGGTGGGATAGACCGCCACCAAATTGGGCGATATTTTCCGCGCCAACGGTTTTACAAGTTTTTGAACTGACATTAATTTTCTTAAAAATAACACAAGTCTAAAGACTTATTGCAAGACATAGAAAGGACTTAGAATTGTAGCTTTGTATTTCAGAAGCATTTTAATTATATTATTTCGTATCAAGCATTGACAACAGGCATTTCGCTAGACGGGAAAACTTTGTCCTTAGATTTAATATTCAAATATACTAAGCGTCTATTTCTTTTTAATGCGAAGTCGTAGAACAAATGGCTTGTATACTGCCTTGACGTGAACTGAAGTGGAAGAAATGTTCTGACGTCTTCGTTCCTGGTCAATAAAAACACAAGACGATTCGCAGATTCATCATACCATCTTCAGACTTGCAAGGTTTGAGATATGTCTATTTTCTTTACTTGCTTATCCTAGCTTTATTAGAGTTGGGACCTAAAAAAATATTTATAGTTTCGTTTCTAACGTTTTTTTCTGTTCTGTTAAAGATGAAGTTAGTGAAAAATAACATAGCAATGTATTTCGTCTGTACAGATACGCATTTTTTTTCAGATGTGGAATAAATCTTTAATTTATGGAATAGCTACGGCTATATGCTTCTGCGGGATTGTAATGTGTGTAAACGCCTCAAACTTTCGTTGCAAGCTGAAACGTTACTCCCACAAAGCTATGCAGACCGACTTGAATGGAAGACGATGCTGGGACGAAGTGAAGATTGGTTCGTGCTGGGGCTACTGCTTGTCCTACGAGGTAAAGGATTCATTATAGCTACAGTGTCCAATAAATCTGTTTTAACTAGAATCCTACCGAAGGTAAACTATAAGAATTAATATATCTGTAACTAATATAATTAACTATTATAGGCCGTAATTAAACCACCCAATACTATAGTTTATGGTTAACCTTATATCTAGATGTAGGTATCGTAATGGCAATTTTACACTCATGTGGCTTACGATCAGGGAAGAGGGGAGGTACTTCTTAAGCCCGTCGAATAATCCATGGGGTAATTTAATGATTTGTTAATTACCACATATTTGTGCAAAAAAATTATAAGAAATACACACACAAGTATTAATTTATAACTTTTTGTAGGATTTCGAAGATATAAAAAGGCGTGGAAGGAAAGACGGAAAGGAGAAAAGATTGACTTTTAGTATTTTTTTTTCACGGATGTTCTTTTTATAGATCTCACATTGGCAGTTCCCATACAAAGAATCTCACCATCCGGTCTGCGTGCATGGAGAACGTCGTCCTGCCTCTGTAAAACTGCAGAACTGTGATCCTGGAGTACAGCCTGGTACTGATATCTATCACTTCGTGGAAGCTGTAAACTGCAAATGTCAGGTGAACATCAATTCTGTAGTTGACCAATTGCATTTATTAAATGTTCTTTATAAATATCCTTTACTGTTTATATGATAAGGTGAGAAGAAATAAGAACACATAATATTGTCGTTTCTAGGTGTGCTCGTCTGAAGACACAAGTTGCGAGTGGTTACCTCCTGATTCTTCTCTGTTGGATGGTCTCATCCTAAGAGAGGAATTGGCTGAAGAACTGGAATAAAGAAAACTGAAAAAAAAAATGCGTTCCCTTCTTAAGTGAAATATACTTGTTTACATTTGTGAGTTACACTTTTCCAATAAAACCTATGCA